CCCCCCGCGCGCATGGATTTAAAATAAACGTCCCAAAGATGAGAAAAGCAAACGATCCAACAAGCATGTCACCATGTTTTAGGTACTTTGTGAGTTCTGGTTATAAGGAGACAACTGGGATGAGAGATTTTTGCCCGCACGGAGCTCACAATGTGGTTTGACTAAATAGGCTTTTGGAATGATAATATAAAAAGTAAGCCTTGGTTGTGCATGTCGGATAGTTGTTGGCAAGTGTTTAATACAGATGTCAGGAGATTTCAAAATTAGTTTTTAGTGAAAGCCGTTAACTACATTTCTCACTCAGAAATTATCCCAATGTGTCTTCACTTCCTAGCTTCCCCTAGGAACTGTGATCTTAACTTCTAGTGTCTTCTTCCTCCTCAATAAATTTTAAGTAGTAAAAATAAACACAAGCTAGCATTCGGTATCCCTATTTCCATCATATTTTCCACTTCCATTTCTTTTATTTATTTTTTTTTTAGAGAAACTTCTAACTGAAAGCCTATGCAAATTGTACACAAAACTATACTGGTTAATCAAGTAGATTCTCCTTTTTTGAGACATTGGCTGACAATTAGCACAAATTTGTATTATCTGAAGAGGGGTTAATAAAATCTAGCTTTGGATTCAACTAGAACCTGCCCACCAATTTATCCTTGCCACGGACATTTATCTTCCTTTGACACATACTCCCCCTACCACCAAATCATCAGTGTTCTCTGTCTCAAACACCAGCATCTACCAGGTGCTCAAACAAGAAACTTTTTTTTTTTTTTTTTTTTTTTTTTTAGTCAGAGTCACTCTGTCGCCCAGGCTGGAGTGCAGTTGGTGTGCTCACAGCTACCGCAGCCTCAACCTGCTGGCTCAGGCAGTCCTTCTACCTCAGCCTTCCAACTGGCTAGAGCTACAGGCATGCGCCACCATGCCTGGCTAATTTTTTTGATTTATTGTAGAGACAAGATCTCACCAAGTTACCCAGGCTGTCTCGAACCCCTAGGCTCAGGCATTCCTCTCACCTCCGTTTCCCAAGGTGCTGGGATTACAGGTGTTAGCCACCATGCCGGGCAAAAATAAACCGTTTACGTTCTAGTTCCTCTCAGCTGTTGCACTGACCAAGACTCTATACAGCCATGCCTCCTCTTAGTATCTGCAGGGGATTCATTTCAGGACCCCTGCAGAATCAAAATCTACAGATGCTCAAGTTCCTTGTATAAAATGGCATGGTTTTTGCATATAACCTACACACATCTTCCTGTATACTTTAAATCATCTTTAGATAATACTGAGTACAATGTAAATGCCATGTAAATAGTTGTTATACTGTATTGTTTTTTATTTGTGTTATTCTATTTATTTGTTTTTGAGTTGGGAGTCTTACTTTGTTGTCTCACTCAGTTGTCTCCCTCTTGGCCAGGCTGGATTGCAGTGGCACAATCATTGCACACCACAGCCTTGACCTCAGGTGATCCTTCCTCCTCAACCTCCTGAGTAGCTGGGTCTACAGGTGCATGCCACCACCCCTGGATTTTTAATTTTTAAATTTTTTGTATAGACAAGGTCTCGTTCTGTTGCCTAGGCTGGTCTCAAACTCCTGGGCTCAAGCAATCCTTCCACCTCAGCCTTCTAAAGTGCTGGGATTACGGGTGTGAGCCACTACACCCAGCCTTATGTTATGTTTTATGGTTGAGTTTCTTCCCTCTGAATATTTTTGATCTACAGTTGGATGACTCTGTGGATGTAGAACCTGTGAATACAGAAGGCTGACTGTATCACCTTTGCATTGCCATGTAATTATTTGTTTTGGTGTTTCTCTTTCCTGTTAGACTGAGTGTCCCAGTGCAGTAATTCTTATTCCTCCTTCTGTCCTCAGTATGTTCAGCACATAACAAAGAGCTAGCACTATTTAACTGATAGACATTAATGATGAAGACAAGTTTTGCAGTTTAGAGACCATATATTAAGTAACCAGGGTATAAAAGAAGTCAAATCTTTCCTAGACACCCAGAATAAATCCTCTCAGTGTAGGAAAGTAGCAGTTTGGGGGTTGTGTATTCAAGAATTATTTAAGAAAAAAATCTCCTTTATAACCTGGAATGTGTTTACTTTGGCACTTACATGATACTATTCAAACTTTCAGAGTGATGAAAGATTTTATTTGCAGGCTGCTTTTTTTTTGAGTCGGAGTCTTACCCTGTTGCCCAGGCTGGAGTGCAGTGGCACACTCACGCTACCGCAGCCTCGATCTGCTGGACTCCGGTGATCCTTCCACCTCAGCCTTCCAAGTAGCTGGAATTACAGACATGTGCTACCACGCCCGGCTTATTTTTTGATTTATTGTAGAGATGAGGTCTCGTTGCCCAGGCGGGTCTCGAATCCGTGGGCTCAGGCAGTCCACTCACCTCAGCCTTCCCAAGGCGCGGGATTACAGGCTGAGCCACTGAGCCCGGCTTGACTTTAGTTTTTTACCGCCTCCAGTGTTTTCTGAATGTGTTGATCAAAATAAAGAATAAAGATCCCAGATGCTGTTACTCTGAGAGTTTAGGTAAAAGGAAGGGTGGGCAGGGATTTTTAAAGTCACTTAAAAAGTTTTTCACAAGCAGTTAATAACCCAGACTCTGGTTAAGCAGTTAGACGACCTCTTCAAGCATGTGTACTCCTCTGTGGGGTTAATATTTTCTGCCTTACATGGTTGTATGACTATTGAATAAAGTAATGTATGTAAAGTGCCCAGCATTGTAGCTACTCAACACATTTATCTTTTCATCTTTGAGTCCTTAATGCCACAGTAGCATCTTACACATAGAAGTGCTTAATAAATGTGGTAGCCGGGCTCAGTGACTCAGCCTGTAATCTCGTGCCTTTGGGAGGCTGAGGTGAGTGGATTGCCTGAGCCCGCGGGTTCAAGACCCGCCTGGGCAACTTGGTGAGA